AGACAAAGGCGGGGTCTGAAAGAGGAGCCGAACCCGAACCAGACACCAGTGGCCTACCACGCTGAGAGGAACCCCGAGCCTTGGCACGACCCTTTTGGGAAGGCCCACCATGGGAGCCCCGGAGAACCAGCAAGTCCGACATAGGATGGTAAGAAGCCGAAGCAGTCTGAATATACAGCGGAAGCCTCAAACAGGAGAAGACAAAAGGGCGAAGACATCCTAAGAGCCAAGGCCCAAGCGGATTCCACAGAAGCAGCGAGCACTGCCTGCTGACACGCAAGCTGGGAAGCATAAAACAACGCAACCGCATCCAGCAAGATCGGCGCGAAAAACTTCTGCAAGGCAGCCGATGAGCGAGCCGTCAAGGCCAAGGCGCCAGAACCAGGAACAGCCCCAAACACCCCCACATCCTCCGTGAGCCAGTCCGAAGACAGCTCAAGGAGGGAAAAGAAACGCAAGGCTGAAGCCAAAAGGCCCCGTGCACGCAAGTCCTCAGCCACCTGCGCCGCCGACAGGGAGGGAACCTGCACATGGAGCGGAACGACACCAACATCCTGGAGAAGGGCAGGAGCAAACAAGTACTCATTGAGGTGCTCTAGGTCGGCCCCTGGGGAAAACCTGCAGCACTGTCGAAGCCTCCCGCCACTCAAGCTTGTAGGAACGGAAGAAGGAGTGCCCGGCCTCCAAGGTAAAGACAGGACTGTCAGTCAGCCAGGACGACTCCGGAACCTTGTAACGGAGCCAGAAAGGGAACGAAGTCCCGAACCTGAAAGCTGAGGGATCCATTGCCGAGGCATAATCCGGGTCACGCAGGAGGTTTGCCGCAAGGGCCGCCCGCACCGCAGTAGGTTGGATGCGATAAGCCGAAAACCTCCGGAAAGACGGAACCGAAGCACCCGAGGGAACACGGAACCGAACCAGGGAAGGGGCAGACACCAAGTCCAACTCGTACGCAGAGGGGGGGGGGGGGGGGGGGGGGAAGAAAACACCACCCCTTGTAACAGTAAGCCCTGCTCAGAGGGCAGAAAAAATAAAGCGGGGTCCAGCGAGGCCCAAGGTCTCCAAGTCAGCCCCTCCCCAGCCCCAAGGTCCTCCTCTGCAGGACCCCGGGCCGAGTCCTCCCCGCAAGCACCGACCCCACTAGACAAGGCCGGCGCAGCCGTAGAAGATGGACAGAAGGGGGCCCACTGTCAGACACAGAGGCTTCGGCCGGGGGACTAGACTCAAATGCCTCCGTCGCCACACCGGAAGGGGCATCCCCCAAGGCTGCCCCGACTCCGAAACCTTCAGACGTTTCGGGGCCGGAAGCAGGGAAAAGGGACCAGAACGAACAACAGGAGGGGAAGGACAAGGAGGTGCAGACTAAACCAGGGTCGAGGCAACCCCCACCCCCAAGTCCGGGTTCTTCTAAGCAAAACGGAACAGCCGCGGGGCATCCGGGTGAGCAACCAACTGAGCACGTTGCAACAAATGAAACCTGGAATGCAACGCCTGCGCAGCCTGTACCCGAAGATGATCATCCGCAGATTGGGTAAATTTTGTCACCAGCAAGCAGCAAAACTCACAGGACTCAGGGTCGAAAGTGTCACCGACCCAACAGGCAGCACGACGGAGGCAAAAACCATGAGGGTCGCCCTGAGACAAGGGGACTGAACAACCCTCAAACTCGCATGGAGCGAGGAGGGGACTCCGGGGTCGCATCCATCGGACCCACGCGTTCCCTAGGGGATTCCCAGGGTCCTGAGCATTTACTATAAGAGGACTCGCACTCATGTAAACCCAGGCAGGGTACTGCTAACCGGCGCCCAAAACTACCAAACAAACTGTCTACAGCTGAACCTCAGGGACGTGTACGCTCATGGGGACTTAGCAGGGGGGCACCACCATGTATCAGGATGAGGCCAAACACCAGTGGCAAGTAGGGCAGAACCCCCTAACAAGGCAAAAAGAAAAAGAAAAACAAAACCCCGCAAGAGGACAACGTACCCCAAGGAACAGAGCCGGCCGCTGTGATTGGTGACAACAAGCTGCACAGCACCCTGCGCCCCTTACCAGTGCAAAACTGCCTCCTACCCTAAGGTAAACTAGGGAAACAAAACACCCAAGTACCCAAAGGGTGGCCAAAAAACCGAGTAGTTAAATGGACCCATAAAGGCAGAAACCAAGCAACCTGTGGAAGGTAACCCCAAGCTCCAAGAGCAGTACTTACAGGGCACCTAGGGAAGGGAACCCTAGGTGCATGCAGCCCGAGTACTGAAGAGTAACTCCTGGCTTTCGCACCCCTGGATAACAGCCACCACACACAAGGCACAGCGCCATAAAAGTCTGGAGCCAGAGCACACAACTGCTGCCTATAGCATCAGCCTCAAGAACTGGGGTGTGGATTGCCGGCTCAGTAGGTCTGAGGCTCCTCCTTCCCCCTCCCGGGGAGGGGGAAGCTGTGCAGACGGCGGCGCGGCAACTTCATACTAGTTCGCTCGTTTTTGTTTGGGGAGTTCTGTCCACTTGTTCGGCTTTTGGTAGCAATATTTTCACCAGGATAGGGGGGTTTGTTTTGGGATGCTTACCTTTCTGGGTGCCTGACCCGGTCGATGGCAGACATAGAAACCAACCACTTCCAACCACATGGGGGACTTCTATAGGCCATTGTTCCCCTTGCCTCTCTGAGGGGGATAGGTTCTGGCCATGGTCCCAGGTAGGCCCCAAAGAACTCCATACACATGACAGATGCCAAAGTCTGACATTAGCCTCTCAGCCTGGATAGCTCTGGGGAGCTGTAGGGGCTCACCCCAGAAAATCAATAAAATATATTTCAATATGATAAAATTACAACATTAATAATAGACTGAACAGAAACCTCAATAAAGCTCAAGAACCTTTTCAAGATTCCAAGACGGCAGCTTGAAGATGAGCACTTTAGAGTGGGGGGGGGGGAGTAAATAATGATACTTTAGGGGGGGTATTAAATGTAAGCGCAATGTTTTATTTTTCAAAACAAGGGATCAGTGGCACTATGAAAACCATTTATGTAAAATTATTCATGTCTGCCACCACCAAGGGAAGGCACAAATAAAGTCAGCAAAAAGGAGGCAACATGGGGGCTTCCTCCAGAAAAGTGAAAATATTGACGAATTTATAGATGAAGATACAGGGAGAGGGGGGGGGGGGGGAACATGTAGTTGCCCCCTCCCCCAATAAAAAAAAAAGTGTTGAATGTAATGAAACGCCATTTTCTGGGTGAGGCTCGGAGGCTCCCTGGAGCTATTCAGCTATCCAGGCTGATATGTATATCATTAGACTTTGAAAGTTAATGGTAAACTTTGGCATCAGTGTGGATAGAGTTTTAGGCCTACCAGGGACCATGAGCCAGGACCTAGCCCCCTCAGAGAGGAACGAGGAGCAATGGCCTATAGAAATGCACATGTGATTTGGAGCATTCTATATCTGCCATCAACCGGGCCAGGCACCCAGAAAGGCAAGCGCCTCAAAACAACCCTCTATTCTGGTTAAAACGACGAAAATAAACAAATGAGTGGACAGAACTCCCCAAATGAAAACGAGCATGATGTTACATGAGCTGCGTCGCATGTCTGTGCAGCTCCCCCAGGAGGAAAGGGGAACCCCCAGACCCACCGCACCGGTGATCCAACCACCAGTTCGAGGCCAGATCTCAAAACACGCGAAAAACTACAGATCGGGTGGAAGGGGAGGGGGAGGGAGTAGCCGGGGAGCCTCCGGGTTTCACCCAGAAAATGGCGTTTCATTACATTCAACGCTGGTTTTCTGGGGTGAGCCCCTTCGGCTCCTCAGAGCTACATCACCAGAGAAAAAACTAGAGGGACTTACCCGGGAGGCGATCGATGCTCGTCTCGACTTCGAGTTGACGTGCGACAGGCTGCAACCACCGACCCAAAGCAACACAGGCCCCCACTAGGTGCAGGAACATTTACGAGGTAGCATGCAGCCAGGACCATGTTCGACCACCAAGAACCCCATGCCCGAATGTCAACCCAAGACATGTTACCGAAGGCGGCAGCAAGCGCAGCAAACTTACGAGCGTCATGGGCACGGGGATAGACCGCAGGCTGGCTGGACCGAATAACCCCGCAGACAACCTAGATCCCAAGGTGACGTGTGGAAGAGAACCCCTAAGCCCCTAGAGGGTAGTACTTACAGGGCACTCAGGAAAGGGAACCCTAAGCACATGCAGCCCGAGTGCCTGTGAATATTACTCCCAGCTCGCATGCCATCGTAAGAGCAGTACTGAATGCAAGACACAGCACAACAAGAGGATCTGGAGCTGGAGCCACCTGACCGAGCCACAATCACATCAGCTAAGAACTGGTGGTTGGATCGCTGGCGCGGTGGGTCTGGGGCTCCTCCTTCCCCCTCTTGGGTAGGGGGGAGCTGCGAAGACTTGCAGCACGGCTTGTGTACCATCATGCTTGTTTTCATTTGGGGAGTTCTGTCTACTCGTTTGTTTATTTTCGTCGTTTTAACTAGAATAGGGGTTTGTTTTGAGGCGCTTGCCTTTCTGGGTGCCTGGCCCAGTCGATGGTAGACACAGAATGCTCCAAATTACATGTGCATTTCTATAGGTCATTGCTCCTCGTGCCTCTCTGAGGGGGCCAGGTTCTGGCTTGTGGTCCCCAGTAGGCCTAGAACTCCATCCACACTGACTGATGCCAAAGTCTAATGATATACATATCAGCCTGGATAGCTCCGGGAAGCCTCCGGGTCTCACCCAGAAACTCTCATTTTGTTACATTTAAGACTTTTTTTATTGGGGGAGGGGCAATTACATGTCCCATTCAGAAAATAGAATAGGTACTGAAACAAATAAAAAGAAAAAAAAATTGAAATAAATGGAATGATCTTTACAGAGGAAGACAAAAGAAAAGTGACAGGCTCAGTATCAGGATATTAGCACATGTGTGCTTGTGACTGTTGTGTTAATTGGAAAATGCTGCATCATGTATAAACTACGATTGTATCCTTACATGTAAGCCATATTTCTTTTGCGCCCGTGTCATAATGGCAGTCGAGATGTCATCGAAGTGGGAATACACAGGGTCCTGGCAGTCTATTTGATGCAAAGTCTTCTTGCCATGAGTCCACATCAGGGCACTTGTTGCAGACCAATTGAGGGTAATTCTTTCATGGACATTGTAGTCAACAAGTTTACCTGAAAAATTGATGTCAATCTGAGTTTACTCAACCCATCCTCAGACTAAGACCATTCCATCCAGCAGTTGACCCCAAGGATGCATTCGTCAATTTTTAACAAGCTGTTCACTCAAAATAGGAATTTTCTCATATATAAATTAATATTGTTATATCTTAGCATATTGTGCATATTTAGGCATAGGCTAGGTTAGGTGTTTAGGGTCTGTTGGTGATTATTTGTAGCAGCTGGGTGAAGCACTTACAGTCCTGTGGTTCGAACAAAGGTCATCAGCTGAGCACTTGATCCGGAAGTGTTTTGATGTCATCAGTTGAGAGTTGTGTGTAAACTGTTTTTCATTCATAAACGGGGCTTTGGCGGGTGCATGGAATGGACTTTGGCCTTTGTTTATGAGGATGGGCTGGTTTACTTTGTTGAGAACCTAGTAATTTATTTACCACATAAGGGGTCTGAATTTAAATCATGAGTACAAGAATTACAGACACATTAATCCTACAAGTATAGCTGGCAAAATGTGTGGTTTATACTGATTGGAAGAATGCAGAAGATAACCAAGAACTTTATCAGTGATGAAGGCAGATTCCATGATAGGAGAGGTTCTGTGGATTAAATACTGTACTGGCACCGAGACAGCCAGTGGAGAAGGTATGCGAGAACATTATTAATTTGCATATGATATTTAGCAATCTGGAAAAAGCAAATAACAGAGCTTATGTAATTGGACTCTAGAGTGAGAGACTGAATAGTTAAGTTAAATACTGATGAATTTTTAACTAATTACTTCTGAGTTAAAGTCATATTTAGTTACTGGTTTGAAGCTAATATAATGTTTGCCAATGTTGTGTGATATCCCATTGCTTGCTAAATATATATAGCAGGCATCAAACCTATTCATATACTTGCAGACAATGAGTCACAATAACATGGCTGAAGATATAATGACCAAACCACACACCAGAAGATGAAGAGATGATGACGTTATGGGCCATCCTGGACCATTATTAAGTCAATTATGATGGAAGTGAGGGAGGCATGAGCAATAAATAAGGTAAGAGAGAGGTGAGGAGCAAGTAAGAGAAGAACGTAATTCCTAGACGAAGGTAAGAGTAAGATAAAAGGTAAGAATAGGATGAAAGGCACAAATGGGAAGAGTGGAATAATGGGATGAAGTAAGAATAAGATAAGTAAGAATAAAAGGAGGGTAAGAAAAGGAAAATGGGGTAGGCTTATGTCAGGTCATATTTGTTAGGAAGGCCAGAGTATTTGAGTATGTACTGTGAAAGAATCAACAGCAACAAAGCCAAGACTAAGATTCATGATGGTTATGCTGTGTATCAGAGCCAATTCAATGAGACGGTGTGTGTGAAAAGTAGAAGCAGGAATGATTAAATTTAGAAGAAGACCAATCAATAGGATGATTAAGAGTCCCTAACATGACAGAAGAGAGCATTGTTTGTGTCTGCAGACTTAACACTTCTTTTTTGTTCCTTAAGTCTGTCATTTACTGTACAGCCAGTTTTCCCAAAGTATTGGAGAGGACAAGACAAACAGGAAATAGAGTACACACCAGCAGTATTAGAAGCAATAGCAGTAGTGTTAGTTTGTCAAAAGGCGAGCTTTATGTCAAGAGGATGAAGAGTATTAGTGAGATTTTGAGTGCCCATATTGAGATAATACGAGATATTCATGGCCGTGCCACCTCTTGGGTGGCTTAATCTTCATCAATCGATCAATCTCACTCCCGACACAACTGACTTGATAATGGTTTAGAACAGACCGAAATGTTGGCGTCTTTTCATTGTCTGGGGCCAGATTTACGTAGCAGTTACGCAAGTACTGTACTTACGAACGTATACACCTTTCCTCAATCGTTGACGGCTTTGGTTACATTTATTAAGCAGTTTACAGGCATGAAAACTTCCCAATCAACTGTTGTTATTGTTATAAACAGCCTCCTGGTGCTTCAGATCTCATTAACTTTAATAATTGTAAACAAACCTGCCAAAAATTGAGAAAAGATGTACAGGTTCGTAAGTACTTGCGTAACTGCTTCGTGAATCTGGCCCCTGGTGTGTGGTTTGGTCATCATATTCAAACACTTTTTACAATGTAACAAAGTTAAACATTTAATATTTGTTGCATAATTAAGGTAAAGTGATAATCAACTATTAGACTATAGTGTCATTATAGAATTAAATATACATTACTCTACAACTACTTCAGACTTTTCTGAAGACACAATTCATAGATGTGTTTTTCCCGAGCAAAAAGCATTTTTGTAGCTTATCCTTTGACTGTGATAACATGGGGAAGGTGCTTTTACATGGCAAACATGTTGCCCATGAACAATGTTACAAATTTACTTATCACTTTTTTAGAAAAATAAATTACTCTGATGGCACATTCATGCTTCATTCAATACTGATAAGCTTAAATAAATTTAATCAAATAAATGAAAAAATATTGAATGTACCTAGAGTAAAGAAAAAACAGTGGTACTTCGGAATACGAGTGTCCCTGAATACGAGTTTTTCGGAATACGAGCAGGATTTGCTCGGAAAATGTGCCTCGGAAGGCTAGGGTTACCTCGGAACACGAGTTTGTTGATACGCGTACAGGCCGACCTAGCGCGTGGTGGTATGGCGATCGTCACCCCTCCGCCCCTCAGTTTACCAGTGCCTCGCGCCCAGTGACTATCCCACGTCAATTCTTCACCCGGATTTTCAGCGTTTTGTTGGATTTTTGGTCATTTGACCATAAAAGTTGTCATTATATATCTCACCATGGGTCCCAAGAAAGCCAGTGGTAAAGATCAAGGCAAGAAAGCTCATGTGAGGATGACAATAGAGGAAAAACAAGAGATCATTCGGAAGCATGAAAATGGTACACGTGTTGTTGAACTTTGTAGGCAGTACAACAAAGCCACGTCAATGATATGCACTATACTTAGCAAGAAAAAGGACATTACGAGTGCTAAAGTGGCAAAAGGCGTAAGAACAATGACGAAACAAAGACCACAAATACTTGAAGAAGTGGAAAAGTTGTTATTAATTTGGATACACGACAAGGAGTTAAAGGGTGATAGTGTTTCGGAGGCCATCATTTGTGAGAAAGTCAGGGTATTGCACGAAGACCTTGTAAAGAAAACTCCTGGAACGAGTGATGCAGATACGAAAGAGTTTAAGGCAAGCAGGGGATGATTTCAAAAATTTAGAAAAAGAAGTGGTATTCATAGTGTTGTGAGGCATGGGGAGGCAGCCAGCTCAGACAAACCAGCCGCTGAACGATTTATTGAAGAATTTAAAGAGTTTGCAGAGGCTGAGGGATACCTACCGCAACAAGTGTTTAATTGTGATGAATCAGGACTGTTCTGGAAAAGATTGCCTAAGAGGACATACATTACCAAGGAGGAAAAATCCTTGCCCGGACACAAGCCTATGAAAGATAGGTTTACGCGTGTGCTGTGTTCAAATGCGAGTGGCGATTTGAAAATTAAACCCTTGCTAGTGTATCATTCTGAAAATCCAAGGGTTTTCAAACAGTATAAAGTGCAGAAAACCCAAATGTGTGTGATGTGGAAGGCTAATAAAAGGGCATGGGTGACTAGGATTTTTTTTTTCGGAGTGGGTGAATGAAGTAGTGTGCCCTGACAGAAAAATATCTGCAGGAGAAACATTTGCCACTCAAGGCCCTGCTTCTCCTCGACAATGCTCCTGCTCATCCTCCAGGATTGGAAGATGAATTGATGCATAGATACAGTAAATTTCTCACAATAAAGTTCCTTCCTCCTAACACCACTCCTCTAATTCAGCCTATGGACCAGAAAATCATAGCGAATTTTAAGAAACTGTATGAAAGGGCACTTTTCCGGAAATGTTTTGAAGTGACTGAAGCCACAAACCTCACTCTCAAAGAGTTCTGGAAAAACCATTTTAACATTTGTAGTTCTTTAAAACTCGTTGACAAAGCCTGGCAAGAAGTGACTCAGAGAACCCTGATTTATGTCTGGAGAAAATTGTGGCCTGAATGTGTGACAGAACTAGACTTTGAGGGGTTTGAGCCTGTAAATGATGCGCCTATTGTTGAGGAAATTGTTACTCTGGGTCGACAAATGGGCTTGGAAGTGGATGATGATGATGTGGAGGAGTTGGTGGAAAAACACAACGAAGAACTGACCAACGAAGAACTCCAAGCCCTTCAAAAGGAACAGCAAGACGACCCAGCTGATGATGTTTCTCCAGTGGAAGAGGATGAGGCAGTAGCGAATGTCCCTTCTGCAGAAATTAAGAAGGTGTGTCAGACGTGGGAAGAGATGCAAACTTTTATTGAAAAGACTCGCCCAGAGAAAGTTGTAGTAGGCCATTCCTTTAATATTTTCAATGACAATGTGATGCTGTACTACAGAGACAGCTTGCGAAGAAGGGAAAAACAAGCTTCCATGGACAGATTTGTTGTGAGAAAATCGAGCAGTAAGCCACAACCAGGACCTAGTGGTATGCAGGCAAAACGTGCCAGGGAGTGCACACCAGAAAGGTCCTCACTGCCTGATGTTATAATGGAAGGGGATTCCCCTTCCAAACAGTAAGACCTCTCCTCCTCACCATCTTCCATACGCCTACAGCATTCATCAACAAGGGTAAGTAATAACTTGAACATAGTTTTGTAGGTTTATTTAGATGAATTAGGTATAAAATTTAGTTTGAAGCGAGTTTTTTGGGGTAGTCTGGAACGGATTAATTCATTCCCATTATTTCTTATGGGGAAATTAGCTTCGGATTACGAGTTTTCGGAATACGAGCCGTCTCCAGGAACGGATTAAACTCTTAAACCGAGGTACCACTGTACAGTATTGTGCAGCAGTGTAAATTATCAACAATTTACCTGTATATGATGCAGTAATAATCCGATTCTCATGTGTGGGGTGCCATGAGAAAGCAGATATATATGTACTTGAATCGGTGTTGATTGAACGAGTAATTACTGCTGGTTCTTGATCCTCTCCACCATGAGTATAGTGAAGAATGTCATATATTCGTACAGAAGAACTGTCTCGACACAGTGACGCTAACAAACCAACTCTGAAATAAGCACAAGAACTTGAATTAAAATTTATTCTAATACAACTATAAATTAAGGTATAATTTGTAAATAGCTGACGTCTGCAATAAAAGACGTCCACTGGGGAATGATTATATATGAATCTGAAAGAAACGGTGTACTGTACAAGTATTTCGTGTGTTTAAAGTTACTTTAAATTTAAATAAAATTTTGATATGGGGTTTTGAAGTGAAGGCTGCACTTCAGAGTGCAGCCTAGAATCAAGGAACAGTGCAAGCATTTATTCATGAAATATGTTGAAAACTCTCCCTGCAGCTTATAAATGTGGGTGGCTTATATTTATGATAATGTCATACTCTGTTAATTTAGCCAGTGATTGGCTGCCCCTTTTGAAATGTTGCAAAATGCTTAAATATTTAAGGTTCCAGATTGGGCTTGAAATGTGAATGATTGAAGAACTTGGACCAAATCACACAAGTTGTTTAACAGACTGGTAAAGCTTGAATGATTAATGTATTTAACCCTTTAACTGTACAGGCTATTTCAATGCATTGTCTGTCATATGCAAAAGAAAATTTTTCAGTAAAAAGAGGGGGAGGGGGGGGAGGGTTGAGCAGACAACGGCCTGGCAACGTGATGACATCATGCTCGTTTGCAAATTTTCATTTGGGGAGTTTTGTCTACTCGTTCGGCTTTTGGTAGCAATATTTTCACCAGAATAGGGGTTTGTTTTGGGATGCTTACCTTTCTGGGTGACCCGGTTAATGGCAGACATAGAATGCTTCCAACCACACGGGGTTTTTATAGGCCATTGCTCCTCGTGCCTCTCTGAGGGAGGCCAGGTTTTGGCTCATGCTCCCCGGTAAGCAAAAACTTCATGCACATTGACTGATGCCAGAAAGCTAACACAGTATATCCATAACAGCCTGGATAGCTCCGGGGAGCCAATGGGGCTTCCTCCCAGAAAAAATATTTTGTCTCATAAAAGTCTTCATTTGTGTTCCTTGATCACAGGAAAAATAATAAAAAAATTGTAGGTGGCATATTTTGGCTGCAATACGGCGGGAAAGTCTGGCAAAAAATAGGCATTGAAACAGTAAGAGTCGGAGGAGGTCTGCTCCACCCAAGCTGTCATGCGGGAGTTGCCACAATGATATTATTACCTAATTCTCTATTATTACCTATGTCTCTAATTTTTTCTTATTTTTTTGCAGTAATATTATTCAATATTGTGTAATGTGATATATTTATATAATAAAATGTGTGAACCATCGCCTTATTCAAAATTAGGGTGTGCATATTAGTGTTTCAATAATTATGTTCATAAAACAATAAACAAATAGTTTGCTGTTATTACACTATATACACACAGGTTATATATAAGTATCTGCATGTTTTGTTCACCATAATGAACCACTAAGCTGGTATGGCGAGTCAAAAAGCAACGAGGAGTGGCCGCCACACCAGCCAGCTACTCGCTGCCACTCCCTCCCTCGACACTTCACTCGCCAACATTCCTCCTACCACCATACTGTTTTTACTTTTATTCACTACATACAGACATTATATATAAGTATCTACAAGTTTTGTTCACCATAACTGTACAACTAAGCTGGCATGGCGAGTTCAGGCAGTGAGAGAGATCACGACACACACAGTCAGCTGACGACTGCCTTCCTCACTGGTTCAAGGCCAGACGCACTAACATTTCTTCCCCAACAATACTGTTTGTGGTGTTATTACACTATATACACACATTATATATTAGTATCTACACATTTTATTCACCATAACTGTACAAATAAGCTGGAATAGTGTCCAAAGAGCATAGTGGCCACCCTCTACACAGCATGACAAGTCATTCAGATGATGCCACCTCTGTCACCCAAATGGCTCCTCCCAACATATTCCTTTTGCTGTTATTACACTAATACAGACGTTAAATATAAGTATCTACATTTGTGTTCACCATAGAGAACCACTGAGCTGGTATGGTGAATGCAGACAATAACAGGTGGCCACACAAGTCAGCAGACAATGCTATCGCCCTCCCTCAGCATTACTCCTCCCGCCATACAGCACAGCACTAAATATCACAACAATCCTGCTATTATCAGAATCCTGGTCATTTTTATCACAGTCAGGGGTCTTATGTAATATTATCATTGCTAAATAATGCCAGTTACATATATATTTTACCTTTTTAGGCGATGCTGAAGTCAGAAGCTGAACAGCGATGCTGTTAGCTCATGCTACGTGCACCAGTCTTGATTGCTCAGTCAGTATTGAGGCTCTCACACCCAGGAATGTTGCCCATGATTAAAAAACAAAAACATGGCATCTGTTTACAAGAGCCCTGAAGAAGCTGATGTGAACCCTGTGTAGCTGCGGGACTTTTAAATCTTGCATGGTACTCCAACACATCATTAGCTGTGGTGTGCAATTCCATGATAGTTACTCACCACAGCTATTGGTGTGTTACGCAGTTTAAGGGTAAAAACAGTAATTTAGATTTACCTTGAAGGACACCATGCCAATTTGGTAATGGGCTTGGTTGCATCAAGATACAGCACTGGCCGCTCTATGCTACGTAAATCCCAAATAGAAACCTGAAATTTTGAAAGAATTGTAGTTGATAGCTGTTAATATTTGGGTAATTTTACTCTTAAGTGTTATAAGGGTAAAATTTTAAAAAATCCAAGAAATAACTATAATCTTTGATACATAAACACCACAAAAAATAAATTTCAATTATATAATTAGTCTACAATGCATGCTATATCTTCATCTCTATAACAGCAGCTCTATATTCACTACATAAATTTCAACTCCTTTATAGTTGTCAATGATATGAAGAGTACAGTTCGTTCCCACAGCTACAACTGTATAGGGAGGTGTCTGTGGAAAAAAGTTTTGGGTCTGAATCATGTTGCACCGGGGTGTCAACTATGTGACTGGCCAACCCTTCCAGGTGCATAGCACCTGGAAGGGTTTTCTTTTTATAGAAGAAAAAGAGGTGATATGATCACCACTTACAAAATAATTGCAGGACTCTACCAAATTAACAGAGGAATTCCTGAAACTGGCAACCACAAGAACAAGAGGTCATTGATTCAAGTTAAGGAAATAAAAGTGCCAAAAAATATTAGATAGTTTTCTATTGCAAACAAAATGGTAGATGGTTGGAACAAGTTAAGTGAGAAAGTGGTGGAGGCCAAAAATGGCAGTAGTTTCAGTATTATATGACAGAGTATTGAGACACCATGAGCATAATTCTCATCCTGTAACTACACTTGGGTAATTACAAGAGCAGCAGAAAGTAAAGCCGGGGAAAAGGTAAAACGATGATGAGATAACTACCCCAAAACCACACAACCTTGATGTAGACCAGGAGAATTCACAAAGGAATGAGCAGCCAACACACTGTCAGACAACCAAAATCCCAAAGCTTGACCACATACTAACTGAGCTGAAATTATGGTTTGCTATCCAGGGACAATGTTTATGATACAATGGTACTCCAAACTGAAATAAGAATAACTACCTAATTATAATGCACAAAGAGAGCACAGCATTCTGCAACTATGGGTGTGCATGTTTAACTGAAAAATTACCACTCGCAAACCTGCCTGAATGCTCAGGGGCTTGCTCAAGGACAAAGCAGAGTCTTACTTTAGGGAACAACCAAATGTGATAGCTCAGAAAATCTCTCTTCCATTCTAACTTCTGCCATCACATGAAGTATTTGCAATCACAACACCTATCTTTACCCTTTCAGAATTGAATTCAAGATACACAAGTATTTTGAAGTCCAATATAAGGAGTTTTTTATTGCCTAAAACAACAATCCATTCATTAACAGGCACACTTATTTCTTATTCATATATTTTTCTTTCAATCCTGTTTATATAATCCCTACTTCAATTTACATTTCATTCTAAACTTTTGTTTTTTGTTTTTTAACCATGTCTTGCAGAAACCAGCACACCCTATGTTCATATGTTCTTTCATTAAAATTTGTTAACACTCCTAAATTTGTTTGTTTTTCATTTATTCCTCCACACATCCACCTAAATTTTCCTATGTTTTCTGCAACTTTGGCAACAGCATGTCCAAAATCCAAAGACAATTTTGCCCTTAATGGGGAGGAATTCAGGAAGATGAGTCTCCAGTCTAAATCACTTTCCACTCCTCCTTTCTACTTGGTGAACTTTGTATAATGTTGTGGAACTTGACATATTATTGAGGCATTAGGATTAGGTGTTGGTGATAGACAAAGAAGTAACTTGCCTGATTCTCAACAAATGAAGCCAAGCGATGTTCATTATGGATATCGGTACAAATTCCATACACAGCTTTGGTGTTTGCTGTTGCACATAATTTACCTTCTGAAAGAAAAGGCAACAAGCTTAAAACATCATCCTGACTCATTCTTTGAGGTAACAATGTTTATGATACTAAAATCAGTATCATAATCATGTAAACTGAAGACAGAAAATAATATTACAATAGCAGTTAAAGCAACATAGAATATAGATTAGATAAATTTAGCTTCAGAAGTCAGTTTTTCTATTCCTTGTGTAGGATTTTTTTTCTTACAACATTTTCCCATTGTTTGTTTGTAAGTTCCCTGTTTATTTTCTCCCAGTCTATCCTATTATTATTAAAATTGAATTGATTGAATAATCCTTCTCGCTTGTTGTTTCTCTTGGGCCTACTACCATTATTAATGTTAGTTTGCTCTTCATTGAGCTTGTGGTTCGAGTACGTAGTGTCTGCGACAGTAATGTCTCTGATTAGCTCATCATTGTTCGTCAATATCAGGTCCAGCATGCTTTCATTCCTAGCTGGTTCTGTAATCTGCTGACTGAGCGAGAATTTATCAAGAATCTCAGTAGTTTTCTGACCTGTGGTTGGTTATTTCCAGGTTGATTTCCTACTATAATGTTATTGTTTACTATTCTCCATTTTAAACTGGGTAGATTGAAGTCTCCATGGAAGATAATATCTGGTACTGGGTTTGCTAAGTTATCAAGGATATTCTCTATTTTGTGGATCTGTTCAGTGAATTCCTCAACTGTTGCATCTTTCAGTTTGTATATTAAAATAATAAGTAGATTCATATTTTCTACCTTGATTCTAAGTACCTCTACCACCTCATTGGATGAGTTCAGGAACTTTGTGCATGCCAGCTCCTCTTTAATATACAGACCTACTTCTCCACTTGACCTAATTACTCTGTCACATCTATATAGAATATAATTTGGGATGCAAATTTCACTATCCATGTGGTCTTTTGTGTGGGTTTCTGTAAATGCACCAAATATTGAGTTTGATTCTATTAGGAGGCCATTTATGAACTTAACTTTATTTCTTGATTTTGGTTTCAGGCCTTGTACGTTTGCAAATATGAATGATTTCCCATATTGTGTGTCACTTCTGGTGGGCTTTGGTAATTCTCCCCCCTCTCCACCCAGGTCCAGGGTGTGTTGTTTTGGTAGTGGTTCGTCCAGTTTTGGTAGTAGTACGGGTATTGTGTGGTGTAGTACCTGTGTACTTGTTGATAATTTGTATTCCAGTCTTGTGGGTATCTCCCTTCCCTTCTGTAATCCTGCAGTGGTTCCATCTGACTGTTCCTCTCTCTCTTATATGTTCTACTCTGTTTCTGCCTTCCTCTAAAAAATTTCCAGTAGTGTCATATTGATCTTCCCATCTATAATGCTGTGTACCTCTCACGTGGAATTCCGGACACTGAAGATTGTAACTTTTTTTCCCTAATTGAAAATTTACATAATTTAAGGTGGAAGTATCTGCACTCCGTTCCAAAACGGCATGTACTCCTCGCCAACATGTTCCTGCATTTTCGAGGATGCAGAAAAGTGCATTTTGCTCCTAATTTCCCATATTTACATATTCCTTATGCATAGAATTTGCAAATATTTTCAGTTTTTATTTTTTTCAGGGTATTTGTACCTGTGCCTGTCTTGTCTACCTCTTTATTGGAGCCATCTCCGTCTTTCGTCCCAATTCCTTCATTTATGCACTCTTTCTCACTGTTGCTCTCATTGTTTATATTACACCTGGCTCTGCAATATTGCTGTTGTTTTGTACCACAATATCCCTCTTCCTCCACACTACTGCTGCGGTTCTCTAAACTTCCTGTTCCCGAGTTTTGGTCGTTATCCAATGTTGTCTTTTCACAGTCCGCATATATCACTGGTAGCTTTTCTATGAATGATAATCTCTTTGATTCGGGAATGTTTTTCATCAGTTTAGTTATGTTTTCCCATATTAACCTGTCATCTAACTGCAAATACCCATATTATGTTTTCCCATATATTAACCTGTCATCTAGCTGCAAGTACCTTATAAAATATAACATTCAATTCAACAATAACTTTAAAACTTTCGGTTACCTCTTAAATCAAAAAGTTTGATATGTTTGTTGTTCATCCCTGTTATGAGCGTACGGCTGGCATGAAGGGAGAATGCAACACTGTGCGCCGTCTCAGCCAAACCAAATTCAACCACAGGTTTTATGACATCTCTGAAATATGCAAAAACAATTAAAGAAGTTTATGTTACATAAAAAGGGATTGAAAAATCAACCAGGACAAACTGTATACAAAGAGATATGATAACTAACCCAATGTACATCTTTTCTACAATAATCAGAACCTTTCAAATTGCTTCCTACTACTGGCTTGTTCACTGAGGTAGCAACAAGGAAGCTACTTACCTTTTAGGATAGCTAGAGCAAATAAATATGAGCAAAACTATGGTTTGAAGGATTTTTGCAGAGAGTAACCTAATGGCTAATACCAACTGATGGAAACAGAATACAGCCGTGTGCTTTGCGAGCCCCCTCAGGGCTGAGACCAATCTGTTAACCTGTTGTATTCATATAAGTGGAGTTTAAATGTAGGGGAAAAATTGACACGTTCATAGCATAAATTCGACAGCAATCCTCAGATGTTAGCACATTTGGTTCAACATGTGATGAGTCGGGTGCAGGTGGGGGAAATGCGAACTTTCTTGGAGGCCTTTGCAAAAGACTAACTGATATTTGTTTAATTCCCTTTACTCTTTTTTTAAAAAAACTTCATATACATATTGTACAGGATCATTATGTCCTTAGTTTTAAACTCACAGTTACTTATTTCCATAAATGTCAGAATGCCTTCAACATATTGCTGAACCTTTGCCATATTACATTTTTCCTTTAAAGCTTTTTCATCTTCTTCCTCGTCCCCTTCCTTGCCATCTCCATTGCACTCTACTGGCTTTTTTGCTGTAAATAAATCTATAATTTCATTGTCTGTCATGTTTTGACAGGTTGGGGCTTCTTCATCATAATCTATCTACTTATATGTCATTTTCTATTGTTTCAGTCACCAGTTCTGCTCTCAGTTCTGGGGACTTAATCTCCTCGACATAGGCTAGGAGTTCCTCTCTTAATCTTTTCTTCTTGTTAACTTTCTTGGGAGCAAATCCTTCAAAATCTGTCTCATCATCATCCTCATGCTTCTGTTTGTACCATTGCCACACTGCACTATCAACAATCCACACTTGTTTTACTTACTACATTTCTATTTTGTATTGCCTTATCACTTTCACTTTTAGAGAAATAGTAAAAAATGATAGATTTAGCCTCAAGAAGATCATAAACAGTACTATTGCTAATGCCATATCCAGTGGCATTAGCAAGTGGCCATATCTAGGCCTAAAGAACTCCATTCACACTGACAGATGCCAAAGTCTAATATTAGCAATATCAACCTGGAGAGCTCCGGGGAGCCGACGGGGCTCCGCCAGAAATGCATGAGAAAGCTTACGGAACGGAGCCGAAGTTACATCCACTCCGAGCACAAGCTGCAGCGTTTCCACCAGCATCGCACGATAAGAGGCAACAGCATTCGGCATAAGATGTCAGTCCTGAAACAGCCAAGAAAGGAAAGACAGGACAACATGAACATAAACAGAAGGCAGCCTACGAAAAGAAGGAAGTGGCAAAAGGAACACCAAGAGACTTCACACTGTCACTGAGAAGATGATCACAGGTGGGACACCATGAGAGAACCCACCTGATCACCACACAAGTGGTGATACACATGCGTTAAAAATACCAGACACGAAGAGCGGAAGAGTAGATTGAACTAGCATGGTACCTCACTGGGCCAATCAGCTGAAAGAGGAAGAGCTGCGGAAACACCCTGGGTTCGGACACTGAGCAAGCAGCAACTGAAACCAAGGCTTGGCCGGCCACCATGGGGCTAAAAGGAGAACCCTTTCCCAATAGGACTCCAGCTGAGCCAGAACCCAAAGCAATAGTTTACTGGGGGGAAGAGGTACAGGTACCCCCCACCTCAACCAGTCCTGCCAAAAAGCGTTGACTGTGACAACTTCGCAGTCAGGGAAGGGCGACACATACACTAGGAGATGCCACGACCATTCCGACGCAAAGAGGTCCACCTCCGGTAGCCTGAACGTCTGGCAAAGCCAACTGAAGGAGTTAGCATTGACCAGTCATTCCATGGACAAGAGTGTCCACGGAAAGGGGGTGTCCAACATCCTAACGAAAGTTGCACAACCCCCCAAACGTGAACGGGCAGGAGAGCCAAACCCGGCAAACTTAGCAGGTGAATCACCCGAAGCGACCAGCACCAAAGAGGCAAGGACCAAAGAGATCCCCCGAGGTTCAGGCAATGAACCACCGAGGCATAGTCTGAATGGAGCCGAATTGTAGAGCCTTGAGCTAACCAAATCCGCCACAGTGAAAGCCACACTGCTACAAATTACCGCACCGTGCTGTGGGCCAACGGAAGGACTGTGCGCAGCGCCCTTGGCTGGCTTGGTTAGCACTGGTCACAAGCGCCCAGCCGAGAGACGAGAGATGGCGCTAAACGATCCAGAACAGACCCCGAAGCCAAACCCGACTCAGTGGGGTAAACCCTGTAAGGCAAAGGTCAAATTCCCACTCAAGCAACCACCGAGTGACCCCAGGACCCGAGTGATCCAATGCAGCAGGAGGGAGAGACATGGATGCCTTCCGAGAGTCCCACACAAGGCCCAGCCAGGTCTGAACCTGGGATGTAACCAAATGGGACTTCCTCCAGTTCACCAGGAACTCGAACCCAGCGAGCAGGAAAAGAACCAAACCTTTGGCGAGCAGACATGCAGACTGGCTAGGAGCCCACACCAACCAGTTGTTGAGGTAGGCCAAAACCCGAACACCTAGCAGATGTAGATGGGATGGCCACCATGACCCAGGTAAGACACGTGAAAATGCAAGGTGCCAGATTCAGCCTGAAGAGAAGGCAACGAAAGCTGTAAGCTCGCCGCCCCACCACAAAACCTAACTAGTCCCTGAACCCCGGTTGAATAAGGACGTGCCAATACACATCCCGGAGGTCCAGAGATGCATCCCTCTCGTTTGTCATCTAGTTCCTCTTTTATCCATGTGTTGCTTGCTGGTGGGCTGTAGACATTTATGATTATCAGTTTGTCATCCTGATTCCAGACCTGCAATACCAATACTTCAAATTCTCAAGGGTTTTTTATTATTATATCTCTTACCTTCAGGTGTTCTTTCACCAGCACAGTCACTCCTCTGCAGTCCTAGTTTTCCTGTCATGTCTCCAAGCTGAGACGTGTCGTGTAATGTGTGTGTGTGCTGTTTGTATTATTGATGAAGAATTTTTTCTAAGTAGGAAATGATAGAGAAGCTTTAAAGACACTGAAAAAATCTATACAGTACACTTAAATACGAGGAATTAATTTATATGAAAAGAGATTCAATACTCAGAAAATCTGTAATGACATGAAACTCAATAGTAGTAGATGCATTACGAGCATGTAATTACCCAAGTGTAATTACCTAAGTGTAGTTATAGGATGAAAGCTACACTCATGGTGTCCCGTCTTCCCAGCACTCTGTCATATAATGCTTTGAAATTACCAATGGTTTTGGCCTCCACCACCTTCTCACCTAACTTGTTCCAACCATCTACCACTCTTTTTGCGAAAGTGAATTTTCTTATATTTCTTCGGCAGCTTTGTTTACTTAGTTTAAATCTATGACCTCTTGTTCTTGAAGTTCCAGGTCTCAGGAATTCTTCCCTTTTTTTTTTATTCCCGTTACTATTTTGTAGATAGTGATCATATCGCCTCTTTTCTTTTATTTTCTAGTTTTGGCATTTTTAATGACATTTTTAATTAATAATGGGAGCCGGTCGGCCGAGAGGACAGCACGCTGGACTTGTGATCTTGTGGTCCTGGGTTCGATCCCAGGCGCCGGCGAGAAACAATGGGCAGAGTTTCTTTCACCCTATGCCCCTGTTACCTAGCAGTAAAATAGGTACCTGGGTGTTAGTCAGCTGTCACGGGCTGCTTCCTGGGGGTGGAGGCCTGGTCGAGGACCGGGCCGCGGGGACACTCAAAAAGCCCCGAAATCATCTCAAGATCTCAAGATAACCTCTCCTTGTAGCTCTTGTCCTTCAGTTCTGGGAGCCATTTAGTTGCATGTCTTTGAAGCCATGTGACAGGGCTTCCTTGCTTACAAAGTTGTAGAACACTGGAACAAATTGGCCTCTGGTGTAGATTCAAACTCAATACAAGCCTTCAAGAAACCACTTAATAGGAACTGTAGACTATCAAAGAAAACAAAACTCCTATTTTAATATTCAGAAGACATGATGCTAGCTACTGCACCATGTTTTGGCAGAAATAACAAGAGTAGCAGTTGTAGTATTGTATTTACTGATAGCAGCAGCAGCAGTGACTGAAGTTGTACCATTAACAAGACAGGCTTGACTTTTGTGTCAAATTTCCATGCTATTTTTCCAGTGAGCAGAATATGATGACCAAAGTAGAGGTCATCTACTTTTACCATCTATTAAATCTGCTTTCTTATCCTCATCTTGATTCAAATAAACTGAAAATAGAAAAACAGTCTTCCACCTACCCAAGAGGTCTTATGTTAAGCTGAATGTTATTCCCATGTGCAGAATAACTACGCACTCTGGAAAAGAACTGTTAAGCAATAAAACTTAACGAGAGTTGTTGTTTTGCCAGAATGCCGCAACTTATCCAAAAAAAAAAAAACTGCACTGACAACCCCAGTTCTTCTTGTATATGAATAAATGTTGTCTATACAGCCTTACAATTTGTTCTCAAGGCTACACACACAGTAGAGTACCAACATTTTAGATACATTTTGTAACAAAAAACTTTAGCATGCATTTTAGTACAGTAATATTATACTAACCCAGTACTAGAGTTTCTTTGATCAAATGCATACGCAGGTGGCTGATTTATGCGAGTGACATCACAAACTATAACTGAATGATCAGTGCGAACTTTATCTAGGCCAGCAGAGAGCAGCTGTGGCTCTTGTCCACTCCATGCCAGAGAGTTGACAGGGCGAGAATGCTTGGGAACTGTGAGGAGAAAAAATTACTCATGAGAATTTACAACTATTAGGGAAAATAGATAACTTTTATCAAGCTTACAGTATGAAACAAATAATTACTAAAGAGAACGAGAACATCTTATAAAATCCTCAGCAACACACATTCCAAAGAATCAAATGAATGCAAATTGGTTAAGCAAAATCTTTGGAATATATATGCTTGAAATAATAATTAATCCCCTCATCTTCATGCTTTGAGTGAATAAGGAAAAACAGTTTTTGAGCATAACATACTAATACTCCCTTCAATGATCACAATGTCCTGAATATTTTGACTGTTTTCAAGACAGTCGAGTACATCAGGAATCTTTTCAATCATCTCTGCCTGGCCAGCTTATTTTCTGGAGTTATGCCGGCACTGGAGAAAAACTCAATCTAGCCCAGAGAGATTAAAAAATGTTTATTCATAATAAAAATTCAAATCTCTCCACAAACAATTTGACATCAGTGACTGCCATGTAGCATTAAAATCAAGCAACTAGTTTCCCACCTACCAGTGTTCCCCAAACATCACCAGATGGCAGTACTCTAGCCATCACCAAGCTCTCAGCCTGAAGCTATATCTTATTCCGACTAACAAATAAAAAAACTCTATCAATAGGATAATTGGGGATACATAAGGAAAATAATGGAAGTATTTAGGTGTCTTATCCAAAAAGTAACTTTTGTTATTTGCTCAAAGTATGATTTCTGTGCTTTGGATACTTTCTAAGGCAAGCTGTATGTGGAAGCAACCAAGAAAACTACAAATAACAAGAATGGGGAAAAAATGATCTGAGTGGCAGATTAGAGTTTCTAAAGATGCTGGGCAGGTTAATGGAAACCTCAAAGAGCCATCACAGGCTACTCTGACTACAGGTAATAGAGCCGAAATTCTGATTGAACAGCTGAGAATTCTTGGGGAAGTATTAGGTGTCAAATTACGAATTTGACTGCAGAAGCCTCTATTCTGATTGTTGCAACAGAATCTCGGCAAAAATAATATCGAGAATGGCAAACTTTTGAAGACCATACTCCTCAGGATGCACCTGCAGCTGGATCAGTCATCACTTTTAGAAGTAGCCTGATGGAGCAAGTTAGCAAAAAACAAGCCTGACCCCAGGCTGGGATGGGGGTGTATATTTTTAAAACTGACTACAACAAAATAGGACTCCACCTGAAGGAAATGGTAAAATTTTTGTCCAAGATATTTGTATTAGACTGGAGATGAACAAATAAGTCTTCCTGGCAGGAAGATGGCAGGCCTGAAGATTATCATAAAGCAAACTAACCTGGTTGTCCATATTGAAAGCATGCAAGGACAAACACTTAACAGTGAGGTTATCTTGAGGTTATCTTGAGATGATTTCGGGGCTTTAGTGTCTCCGCGGCCTGGTCCTCGACCAGGCCACCACCCCCAGGAAGCAGCCCGTGACAGCTGACTAACACCCAGGTACCTATTTTACTGCTAGGTAACAGGGGCATAGGGTGAAAGAAACCCTGCCCATTGTTTCTCACCGGCGCCCGGGATCGAACCCGGGACCACAGGATCACAAGTCCAGTGTGCTGTCTGCTCGGCCGACCGGCTCCCTTATATAGGCCTACAAATGTAGGAAATACCTGAAACCTGTTGACATAATTAGTCCAACTCTGGGAGATGAAATTCTTCAGGAATCGGGAAAAGAGAAAGATCTGGGGAGTTGATATCACACCAGACGTTGACAAACTACAAGCAGATATCAACAAAGTTTTCGATTGGGCAGCAGAAAATAACATGATGTTTAACAGTGATAAATTCCAGGTACAGTACTCAGGTATGGCAAAAATGAGGATCTGAAACATAATACAGGGTACAAAACACAATCAAATCTGCCCATAGTAGGAAAACACATTATGTCAAGGATTTGGAATAATGATGTCCAACGACTTGACGTTTAGGAAGCATAACTTTCTGCCCGAAACGCTGCGCGTACTAGTGGCTTTACAAGACTGTAATTACCATATTATATATCCTCACATTCCCAATGCACCTTCTTGTATATGCATAAATAAATAAATAACTAAGCAAATATTGCAGCAGCCAGAAAAATGTAGGATGGATTACAAAAACTTTCAAATCCAGGGATCCCATCATAATGGTTGGACTCTGACGAATTTTGGTCCTAAAGAGGATTCTGTTAATTTTTGCTCTTAAAGTGGTCTCTGTTAAATTTTTGGCTTAAACTGGTCTCTGACTAATTTTCGGTCTTAAATGAACTCTGACTATTTTCGGATTTCTACTGGACTCTGAATAATTTAGATCTTTTACTGGACTCTGACAATATTTGGGTCTAAAATAATGTCTCATTTTGGTCTTATATGGTCTTTGAGATTATTTGGTCTAAAATGATCTGTCATATTTGGGTCTAAAATAATCTCTGTCAAATTTTGGTAAATTTCGGTCTTCAAATGGGCTCTGTCATATTTTTGGTCTTAAATGAACTCTGAAGAAAATCAGTCTGAAAATGGTGTCTGAATAATTTTCGGTCTTTTACAGGTGAAATAGCTGTAAATGGATATAAAAACTAAAAGTCATGGCTAAGATGTCTGTTTTCCTTAACAAAACATTTAAGACAATATTTTCTGAAAATGGTCTTTTTACAAATTTCAGTCATAAACTTGTAAATAAACTTCTATGATAATATGCACTCTGAAATATTTTCCTAAAACTGAACTCTGAAAAATTTTGAATTTTCCCCATAAGAACTCTTAACAAACTTCTAAGATCTCCGAAATTATTTTTCTCATAAGAACTCTTAACAAACTTTTATGATCGCTTTATTTGAAAATGGTCTTTGAAAAATTTTGGTCTTTAACTCTGAAAAAATTATCTGGAAAACTGATGCTCTAAACGAGAATGGAAAAATTATCAGAAAACTTGAAGCGCTAAACGGGAATTTCAAAATTTATAAGGAAACCCGACGCTCTAAACGGGAATGGAAAAATTATCAGGAAACCCAACAGTCCACACATGATTTTTAAATTAACTGTTAAACCCACAGTCCAGCGATGATTTTTTTTTTCAAAACAAAAAATCATCGCTGGACTGTATCCCCGAAACCATAATCGCAGCCGAAGACCCCCTTATTCAATGCCCCCACATTCTATGAAAGCCAATCCGAAGACAGCTCCAGACAACTGAAAAAGTGCAGATGAACCAGACCAACATCACGAGGAAGCGCAGGAGCGAAGAAGCACTCGTTAAGAAACTTGAGAAGCCCCTAAGAACACTTACAACACAGAAGAAACCTCCCGCCATTCTAGCGTGCGGGTCCGACAAAAACTGCACCAAGCCCCCAGCAAGAAAAAAGGGCAGTCTGCCAGCCAGGAAGACTCTGGAGCCTCATAAATCATCCAATATGGGTAAGTAGAGCCGAACTCAAAAAGAGGCCAGATTCATCACCAAAGCAAAAACTGTGTCTCGCAGGAGGTACGCACCAAGGGCCTCCCTAACCTCCCCAGCGGAAATCCGAGGACACCTCTGGAAAGACGAATCTAGGGAATCCAAAGGTACCAAGAAATAAACCCTGGGGATGGGGGGAGCCACACAAGCAGGGTCAAAAGGACCCCCAACAGCCAACAGTGGCCTCGGGAACCCCCAACAGTGGCCCTGGAAACTCCCAACAGTGGCCACTGGAACCCCAAACAGTGGCCCCGGGAACCCCCAACAGTGGCCCCGGGAACCCCCAACAGTGGCCCTGGGGAACCCCCCCAACAGTGGCCCTGGGGAACCCCCCCAACAGTGGCCCTGGGGAACCCCCAACAGTGGCCCTGGGAAACCCCCCAACAGTGGCCCTGGGAAACCCCCCAACAGTGGCCCTGGGGCAGAACCCTCTTCCATGCCCACCACCCCTGAAGAAAATGCAGAGTCCAGGGAAAAAAGGCTTCCAAGAAAGAAAGCGGCTGGGATGAACCGGAAGCCTTGGCGGGAAGATTGGGCTCAATCACCTCCATGCCCGAATCGGAAGGGGTAGCCCCTGAAGCAACCCCCAAGCCTCATCCAAATCTAAACCTTGCCCTTACTCTGCAACCCTCAGACGTTTTGGAGCCGGAAGCAGGGGGGCAAGGAGCAGAGCGAACCATGCCCACCTGGGAGGGGAAAGTGGGAGTGCAAATGGAACCAGAGTCCAATGTGTTGCAAAATGTGTTTGCAACACATTTTCGTGTTGCTAAATGTGACCCAGGTGAGCCGAGGTTGTATTTCTTGTTTAAGATCTGGTGTGGCCATTTCCAGTAAGAACCCCTGCAAGGTGTATGTATTTATAACACGTGTCAGTTTTTATGTGCTTGCAAAAAATTTCCCGTCCATCACTTTGAGCTCCAAATTCAACCTTGCATACTGCACTGGCTCACCTAGGTCACATTTAGCAACACAAAAATGTGAGGAATAATGCATATGCAAAATAATTAGCATACTTACTCAACAGTCACCACACACTTATACGCAAGCTGCTTCTTAGCTGTCGCTGAATGGGGAGGTCGTCTCTACCAGGATGCATCTGGAGTTATCACATTTAGCTGTTGAGGGTGATGGTACTCAGGAGCTCAAGAGAGCGCACATTCTGCACAATGTCCGCTTCACAGAGAATGACCAGAGGGAGCTCAAAGCAAGATGAGGCAGCAGCTATTGCTTGAAGGCTTGAAGTGTTCATATTAACAATGTTAAGGTTGGGTTTCCTGGCGAGCTGGGAAAGGGACAGATCCCTGGTCAGCAGACATGCAGACTGCCTGGGAGCCCACACCAGCATTCATTGAGGTAGGCCAACACCCGAACACCCAGCAAACAAAGACGAGCCAACACGACTCAAACCAAACGCGTGAAAATGCTAGGAGCCAGATTCGGCCCGAACGAGAGAACCCAAAAGCAGAAAACCCTTGACAAACCCTAACCAATCGCTGAACCTTGGATTGATATTGACATACCAGTATGCATCTGGGAGGTCCAGGGGGATCATTCATGCCTCCAGTTCGAGAGTAAGATTTACCTAGGACAATGTGGTCATTCGAAAGGAGGGGCAAGGAATGAACCAGTTCAACCCGGCCAGGTTGAGGATGAACCGAACTTCTGGAGAATCCCATTTCGGGATCGTAAACAGATGGGGAAACCCATCGAAGAGATGCAGTCATTTTGACCATGCCCGTAACAACACAATCTGAGATGATCCGACAAAGGCAAGAGGCGGAGACTTGCCCTGAAAGGCCCGAGCATCCCCCCAGGGGAGTGGGACTTGCCAAACAGGGTCAGAGCAAAGAAGTGAATGTGGGAAGTGCATGCGACTCGGCATCAAAGGAAGGCCTACCGCAACCCACAACAGGCAATGCCCTAGCCCAACCAAGCCACAGTAGGAGTCGAGAATGACCCCCACGAGCACACAAGTCTGAAATAGGCCGACAAGCAGTGGCCACAGAAGACAGCACTGGAAAACCATGTCCTCTGGAAACAAGAGCAAGGAAAAGGAAGAAGCAGAGATGAGAGACAGAGCTCGCATGGAGTTCAAGGACCAGGCAAGCACAGCCTGCCAACACACAAGACAAGAGGCAAAAAATGTGGATCATCCGCCTCCCCAGATGATTGGAGCATACAGCTTGAGAAGGGCTGCTTCTACATCAGCAGCAGAGCCCAGGACCCCCACAACAGGAACAGCGCCAAGCACTGCAACGTCCTCCATGAGTCATCACAATGAAGCTCCTAAAGACTAAAGAAGGGCACGGTGGATCGCAAGTGCGAGTGGGCATGGAGGTCATCTGGTCCAAGGAAGCCGACAACTGGGGAACTCTAGCTTGCAGCTGCACATGATCAACATTACATGAGAGAGTGGGAGCAAAGAGGCAGGCATTGAGATGCTCCAAAGAGCCCCCAGGAAATCCTGAAATACAGGATATGCCTCCCACCACTCAATCATACGGGAACAACAGAAACCGAGCCATGCCCCAAGGGTAAACAAAGGACAGTTTGCCAACCAGGACAACTCCTGAACCTCATAATGCATCCAATAAGAGGAAGAAGAACCGAGTTGAAAAGAGGCCGGGTCCATCACCGAGGTATAAGCCGGGTTGCAAAGGAGGTACGCACAAAGGCCCTCCCTAGCCTCCGCTGGGAAAACTCTAGAAATAGGAAACCTCAAGAAGGATGAAATCGAAAACCCAAAGGTACCCAGAAATAAACCGTGGGGGAGGAGCTGCACCCAAATTTAACTCATACAGTGAGGGGGGGTTAAGAAAAAACCCCACTCCCTTGCAACAAAAGGCCCTCCACAGAAGGCATCAGAGCCCACAAAGGGTTGAATGGGACCCAAGGGCCATACTCCAACTCCCCCTCCCTTCCCAAGACCCGGGAGCTATAGGAGAGGGGCCTAGAGCCAAGCTATCGTCCATGCCCACCGCATGAGCAAGAAAGGTGAAATCCAAGGGAGAAGCCTCAGAAAAGGGGGCCAGCTGGAAAGACCCAGAAACCTCAGCGGGAACACTAAGCTCAACTGCTGGCTCACGCTGCACAAACGTGCGCAGGAAAAGCCAAAAATGCAAAATGACACTTGGCTGATGACAGGAGATTGGAGCCAGAGTGAACTGAGCAGGCAACTAGGCACAAATACACCAGTATAAGAACTGATGATGGAGCAGCCAGCTGACCAGGTCAGCCTCCCTCCTTCCCCCAGATGAGGGAAGGGAGGTGGAGCAAACCAGCTCTTGCTAGCTTTATGAATTTTAAATCATTTGTTTACATTAAGGGGGAGTTCTTTTGGTTGTAATCTGGCTTTCTAACCAAGCAGTGGTTTGTTTTGTTTCACCAACTTTCTGGGTGCCTTCCCTTGGTGGTGGCTGAAATGAATAAATTTACACAAAAAAATTTCATGAAGCTACTGCTCTCTATGCTTCTCTGAGGGGGGCAGGTTCTGGCACGTGGTCTCTGGTAAGCCAATAAGAACTCCACGGCTGATGGCACCTTGAAGTCTGGCACTATATTAGTAAAGTAGCTCAGGGAGCCACAAGGGCTCCCTGAGCCCTTAGAAAGAGCCAGACAGGAAAGTGAATGAGTGCTGATCTCCAGAAAACCTAAGTTTTCTGGGAGTTAAACAGCTCCTATGGGCTGCTTCCTGGGAGTGTGTAACAAACAGGAGGCCTGGTCGAGGACCGGGCCTCGGGGACGCTAAGCCCCAAAATCATCTCAAGATAACCTCAAGAAGATAATAAAAATTGGCTAAATGAAGAATAATGATGTGAATGCAGTGGAGAACAATGTATAGACTTGACTGACAGGAAAGTAGGATATTGTACTGATGATGATTTGTTTATAGAAAATCAATTACTAAATTGAGGATGACAATGTAATAGGGAGTATAGGAAAGATGGGCATAAACAAGGTGGAAGAAGAGAAAGATTATGTGAGTGAATGGGATGTTGTATGAAAAACATACTGAGCTGTTTAGATGGAATGCTTTCAGGAAACTGACCACCATTATCATGTGAATGAATGGGTCAGAGTCCAGAGAATAGAATGAACACTTACCGAATTCTCGCCCTTTTATTCCAAGAGAGTCGGGAACCTTGCTGAAAGTTGTAAGTGCAACTTTTCCATTTGCCTGACCCACTGCTAAAAGCTGGTTTGTTGGGTCACTTTCAAGCCCAGGGCACCAAGCCACACACTTGATATACTGGAGATCATTATTTGTTGATAAAAGAGATGCGGCAGTTTTTGGACCCAATCGCAAACCTGGCCAAAATAAAATGTGTTGTTATAATAATTAGATACTATCCACATTAGACATTCAGTGCCTATATTACACATCTTTCTTTTTTCATATAGTGTTCTTGCTTATACACTAACAATATGAAAACAAACCAAGTGAAAATAATATACAGTTATGTCCTTAGGAGCTAGCAGTAAGGCCTTGTAACATCCTACACACACACAGCTGGTCATCATGATTAACCCTTAAGTTGCACTACACATCATATGATGGGTTGAGTGACTTGCTATAAATTGCCCATCCCATCATATGATGTATTGGAGTACTACGCAAGATTTAAATGGCCCACGGATACACAGGGTTCACCTCACCTTCATCAGAGCTCTTGTAAACAGACACCATTTTTTTTTTTAAATCATGGGCCAAATTCCCGGGTGTGAGGGGCCTCAGTATTGAGTGAGCCACCAAGCCTGATGCATGCAGCATGAGCTCACAGCACTGCTGTTCAGCTTGTGACCACAGCATCGCCTAAAAATGCCATAATATATATGTTCATGCTATTATTTAGCGATGATATTATTACAGAAGACCCCTGACTGTGATAAAAATTACCAGGATTCTGATAATAGGAGGATTGTTGTGATAATTAGCGCTGTAATGGGAGTAGTAATCTTGGTGGGGAGGGAGGTAGCATTGTCTGCTGACTCTGTGTTACCACCTTTTACTGTCTGGACTCACTATACCAGCTTAGTTGTTCACTATGGTAAACAAAACATGCAGATACCTATATATAACGACTGTATATAAAAGCAAAAACAGTATGGGGAGAAGAGAATGGTGGTGAGGGAGGGAGTGGCAGCCAGTGGCGGGCTGCCACTGGCTGCCATTGCCACTGCCACTCAGCATACCAACTTAGTGGTTTGTTATGGTGAACACGAATGTAGATACTTATATACACGTGTAGATACTTATATACACGTGTAGATACTTATATACACGTGTATATACAGTGTAATAACAGCAAAAGGAGTGTGGGGGAGAAGCCATTTTGGTGATGGGTGTGGCAACATCTTCATGATTTGTCATGTTGGCAGGGGTGGCCACTATGCTCTTTGGGCATTATACCGGCTTAGTTGAACAGTTATGGTGAACAAAACACGTAGATACTTATATATAATGTCTGTATATAGGGTAATAATACCACAAACAGTATTGTTGGAGGTGAAATTTTAGTGCGTCTGACCATGAATGTGTGAGGGAAGCAGTCGCCAGCTGACTGTGTAGCGACGTCTCTTAACCTGGTTGATACCTGGTTGATGGGGTTCTGGGAGTTCTTCTACTCCCCAAGCCCGGCCCGAGGCCAGGCTCGACTTGTGAGAGTTTGGTCCACCAGGCTGTTGCTTGGAGCGGCCCGCAAGCCCACATACCCACCGCAGCCCGGTTGGTCCGGCACTCCTTGGAGGAATAAATCTAGTTTCCTCTTGAAAATGTCCACGGTTGTTCCGGCAATATTTCTTATGCTTGCTGGGAGGACGTTGAACAACAGCGGACCTCTGATGTTTATACAGTGTTCTCTGATTGTGCCTATGGCACCTCTGCTCTTCATTGGTTCTATTCTACATTTTCTTCCATGTCGTTCACTCCAGTACGTTGTTATTTTACTGTGTAGATTTGGTACTTGGCCCTCCAGTATCTTCCAGGTGTATATTATTTGATATCTCTCTCGTCTTCTTTCTAGTGAGTACATTTGGAGGGCTTTGAGACGATCCCAATAATTTAGGTGCTTTATTGCGTCTATGCGTGCCGTATATGGGAGTTGAGGGAGGGAGGAAGTAGCAGCCAGTGGCGGGCTGCCACTGGCTGCCACTGGCTGCCACTGGCTGCCACTGCCACTGCCACTCAGCATGCCAATTTAGTGGTTCGTTATGGTGAACACGAATGTAGATACTTATATATAACGTCTGTATATAGTGAATAAAAGCAAAACCAGTATGGTGGGAGGAGAATGTGGGCGAGTGAGGTGTTGAGGGAGTGAGTGGCAGCGAGTGGCTGGCTGGTGTATGGCGGTCACTCCTTGTTGCTTTTTGACTCATAATACCAACTTAGTGGTTCGTTATGGGAACAAAACGTGCAGATACTTATATATAACCTGTGTATATAGTGCAATAACTGACAAAGAAATTGTTCACTGTTTGATGAACATAATAATTGAATCAACAATATGCACACCATATTCTTGAGTACAGCAATGATTCACTCATTTTATTTTATAAATATATCACACTACACACTATTGAATAATATTACAGCAAAAAACTACGAAAAAATCAATCAGAGACATTGAAATAATTAGGTAATTATATCTTTGTGGCCACTCCTGCCTGACAGCTGGGAGCAACAGACCGTCTGGGACGCACGCTGAGTCAGCGCCTGTTTTTTGCCAGACTTCCCCGCCCTATAGCGGGCAATATATACCACTTACGATTTTTTTGTATTATTTTTTCCCATGATCAGAGAACACAAATTAACAGGTTTAGGAGAATTTTTTTTTTTTTTTTTGGTATGCGCCTGTGGCATCCTGCCAGAGCTTCAAATTGTTTTGCCCCCTTAACCACTGTACTGTGCTCATCGTGATATCATGGGGAATGAGGGGTGCACCACACTACATATTATGTTTGTATGTCATAAGATTCAATACGCCCACACAGGTGCATAAGGCTCACATCCTGTTCCCGAGGACTCCAGTAAACAGATGCCATCTTGAAACAAAAATTCTTCATCGAGCCTGGCAGTAAGAACCTTAGTAATATCAGAGGAACCAAGGCACATGCAGCTGCAGCTCATAGCACAGTTGCGCAAGTCGGGGGCCACAGCACCATTTAATAATGATGAATAAAATAAGTAACTGGAATTATTTTATATTGATAGTGTCATAGATGATCATGACTAAAAAAATTATATACAAAGTTCAGATATCAGTGAACACCATGCTAATTATGATGTTTACAATAGAAGGCAGCTATTCACAGCAAACAGCCGAATTTTGTGAATTAGCGCATCATGCAAATTGACCATGTTCCTTAGAAAATAATCTTGTGGAAAATTATTTAAATTTATGATTCAGTGACAGGAATCTGATAATAATATCAGGGTTCAAAGTGATAATAGTAATGTGCATGGCGTATGTATGGGTATTTTGTTCTGTCAGATGAGATCGGCTGCCCGAGTCAGCTGGTCATAGCGTACAGCTCTATACTGTACTGTGATAAGATTTGATCACCACACACACCAGAATTACTTGGTAATTCATTACAACTTATACAAATATAGACAGATGTATATAATATATGTATATAGTGTAATAACAGCAAAAACACTGTTTGAATGATCTAAAAATATAATGTGTGTCACTAGATATGAGCACCATATTTTTTAGCACATCGATGTTCCACACACTTAACTATATAAATTACACACCACTGAAAAATTTTACTGCAATAAACTAGATATAAAATCATTCACAGACATTGAAATAATTACGTTATGCAAAAATGTATTTGGGACAACCCCAGCCACACTCGGCTGTTGGGTACTAGGCTAATCTTGGAACCTTGTTGTGTATATAAACTCTCAACACATGATGTTTGTGGTTCATTATTGTTACGGACCCGAGTCCAGCGTCGTAGCACGGAGCAGTGACGACAACGCCATCAGTGAGTCAGCTCCCGAAAACCCCTCCAAATGGACGACGCCATCTAGTGAGGATGGGATATACCGGCCACAGGTGCTGAATTCCCGTCTTAATCAGCTCGTAACATAGCCGCCGCTGACCTCTGGTGAGGTGGCGCTTAGACAGCAACGCCATCTATGGAGTGGATAGGTGGACGTTTGTGTCTAAGCCTGTAAGTGAGGTGCCCTAGAGCGTCCCTAGTACTAATGACGTGTCTGATTACAGAGTCGACCTGGGACTGCTGTATTGGACGATGGATCAGTCTACCCAAGGCAGCCAAGGTCTCTCCACGAGTTTGCTCTGAAGAAGCTGTGAGTCACCCCCGGACGGATACTGTTGAGAGTGTTAGCCTGCCTGTGACGTGACAGTATCAGGAATCGCCTTATCCGGGGCTGGCTGGTGGAAGAGACTAGCCACTGTGGTGTTTAGAGAGGAGGGTGATCAGCGGGATCACACGAGGCTCCTGCCTAGGGCTCGCAACCCTAGTATCGGTCGAGGAGTGGCCTACACAGCGGAGCTGATCGGAACCTGCCAGCTACAGGCTGGATTGTGGTTGAAGGCCTCCACGATGGAGCACCCAGTGGGACTGTGATTTGGCTGGCCTGTGGCCAGGGTGGATTCGCCGAGAGAATCAAAGAGGATTCATCATGGGCCGAAGAAGAGAACCAGGGCTACTCATCGTGAACACCGTGGAGCATCCTGTGTCTTCAGAGGAAGACAACTCTGTACATTAAAGTGTGTTTATAACCCCGTGTGACTGTTTATATATTTATTTATGGTGGTGGTTAATATATATATAAATCAGAGCATTTGTATCCCTCCCCCTTTAATTTAACTTGCGTTACGGAGCACATCCCTTGAAAGCCTCTACTAGCTTGGGGCCGGATTCCCAAATTCTAATAACACCAGAAAAGAACCCAGTTACGCCCCAGTAGGGCCGTAACAATTATGGTGCACAAAAAATATAGATTGTTATATATAATGTGCGAGTACACAATGTAATAACAGCAAAAACATTGATTTATCGAAGAAAATAATGGTACGTATGTCTAAAATAATGGTAGATATAACATTTTAGATAAAATAATTATCTAACATAATGGTAGATATGAGCACCATAATTTTGAGCATAACAATGTTCCACACATTTTATTATATAAATTTCTCAAATTACACACTTTTAAATACTGTAATACTACAGAAAAAACAATGAGACACAATTGTAGTAATGAAAAATTTAATTTGCTGCAACTGCCGCCCCACGAGGTCACTGGGTGTCTCCGAGCGCTTACTCACTCAACACCTATATTAGCTCAATTTCTCTGCTCGATCACGGCTAAAGTATGTGACATACAATATTTTACTTTAAATTTCCTATGATCATTTTAACAAAATAAGAGGCAAATTTTGGGTGAACTATTTATTTTAGGTGCACCACATGTATGTCATATGTTATAGCTGTGCAGAACAGTGGATAAGGAGCCTTTCCAAACATTTTAGATTTATTTTTAATTTTTGTATATTAGAAGTCTACCTCTTTAGAAAACATTTATTTATTTGATATTTTTTGTTACCAATGGCAGTACTTAAAATACTGGTAATACAGACGCACTGCTAGATATTCTTTTAGTTTTACTTTTTTTGCCAAGAAAAATTAAAACACTCAGAATAACTGAATACAAATGCAGTACTATAATTAGAAAGTGTATATACTGTATATATATATATATATATATATATATATACTGTACAGTACAGTACTTAATAGAAATAAATACTTTTGGCAATAAATTTAAATACTTTTTTTTTTAAATCTATGGCATCTCTAATGACAGATCTAGCAAGGGAATTGCAATTTGTATGTACTGTAAATATGAATAAAATTGTACATATAAACAGCTACTGTATATATCAACTGCAGTTTGTAGTACAGCATAAGATAATTTTTCAGATTCACTGTTTTCTCAGAAAAATGTGATTCTGTCATATGTGTAAAAAACCAAACTAGGAATAAGTGCCACAAGTCAGTCATAACTTACGAGGCAGCTGCACAATTTCTGTTGAGGTGACGTCCTGTACTTGGTATAGTTGCAGATCAGATCCCCACGTGAGAAACTGGTCAGCCGCAACCGGCGACCACTGCACATCTACCCTCACACTACTCATGTTAAATCTCTTCTGCTGATAGTGTGCATACTAACTGAAAGATATAACTGAATATAAACAAAGCAACTTTTGATGTGAAAATCAAAATACTGTACAGTACTGTACTTTTGAGTCAAATTATAAATTATTTTGACGAGGAGTAGCATTACAATACAATACAGTAAATTTTGCTTTGGTCATGTACTATGCAAGCAATTTCCAATACACAGTTATTTCTATGGCATGATAGTAACAGTAAAATGAAATCCTAATATTATAAATTACTGTAATTCCTTAACCACTGCATATATATATAAATGCAGTGGTTAACCACTTCACTGTGCATAGTGCCTTAAGATGCTTTTAGGTATAGGGAACAATTAAAAACTCCTGCAGGTACATGGGGCTCACATCCTGTGCTTAAGGACTTTTTTTTTTTTTTTTTTTTTTTTTTTGGTGATATATACAAGAGTTGTTACGTTCTTGTACAGCCCCTAGTATGCGTAGCGTTTCAGGCAGGTCCCTGGAATACGACCCCCCACGAAGAATCATTTTTACAACCAAGTACCCATTTTACTGTTGAGTTAAACAGAGGCTACAGTTAAGGATTTGCGTCCAGTAAATCCTCCACGGCCAGGATACGAACCCATGACAAAGCGCTCGCGGAACGCCAGGCGAATGTCTTACCACTACACCATGGAGACTGGTAGACTAGGACTCTTCGTAAACAGATGTCACATTGAAAAAAAAAATCATCTGCATCCGTACTGGCTGTGAGAGCCTCAGTACTGAGAGCTGGCACATGCAGGAGCAGCTCACAGAACTGCTGTGCAGCTAGGTCCTGCACCACTTACAAATGATGAGTAAAATTAGTAACTGCAATTATTTGCATTTTAGTGTCACAGATGATCCTGACTGTGGTTAAGATTATGTACAACAATCAGATTAAAGTGAATGCAATACGAATACCTCATGGCCCTTCACAATACTACCTTGTGGAAATAGATTCATATTTGGCATTTTGTGACAAGTATTTGATAGTAATAGCAGCTCTGTGGCTAGTTATAGCAAAATGTGTAGAATATTGAGAGGCTTTTCCTTGCATCAGGCAATTGCTGGTGTCATCTGCTCGTATCGTATGGCTCCATGCTGTTTTGATTTCATCATGTCCACCAGAACTGCTTATTTTGTTATTTATATACACAAGAGTTCTTACACAAGTGAATGACAAACAGCAGTAAGCACTTCATTAGGGACAGTGCCAGGGTCATAATCAAGGGCTATGGGAACTTTCATAGCTAGATCAGCCAACTCTGTTATCGAGATGAGAGGAGGAGCCAAAACAGAAGAGGAAATGGGGAAAGGACAGAAGTCTTCTTATCTGCTAGGGAGAAAGAGGGAGGAAGCAGGTTTCCACTTCTGACTGATGGGGGAAATAACTTCCATATACAGTAATAATAACTCTTAAATATTAACTTAAATTCCTATGATGATTCATCCTCTGTTTAAAAACGTAAATAATATGCAGTAGAGGGAGGCAAATTATCAGGCAAAAGCACCAAGCCATTATGACTACAGTATATAGCACTTGGAAGGGATCAGGATAAGGATTTGAGATGGAACAGGGGAGGGGTTGGGGGGGGGGGGAGAGAAAGGAATGGTGTCCAACTACTTGGACAGTCAGGGATTGAATGCCAACATGCATGAAGCAAGAAAGTTACTCTACCAACCAACCCAAGTAGTTAGGCATAATATGCAGTAAGGAATAATGGAATACTCCTTGAGGGAGTATTACTACACTACACATGAATACTACACATAAGGGGCATAACTGGCCGACCCCTCACAGTGTTCAAGAGAGAACTGGATAAGCACCTCCAAAGGATACCTGATCAACCAGGCTGTGACTCATACGTCAGGCTGCGAGCAGCCGCGTCCAACAGCCTGGTTGATCAGTCCGGCAACCAGAAGGCCTGGTCGACGACCAGGCCGCGGGGACGCTAAGCCCCGGAAGCACCTCAAGGTAACCTCAAGGTAAGGAGGGTTTCGTCAGCTGCTACCCCTCACCATGAGACAATTATTAAACTTTTGTTCTTTTCTGTTAAGTCTTGTTATTAAATTTGAGAGAGTAGATTAATACTTAAATATTCTATCAAATTAATTATATTAATTTGATTTATAAATCATTAGAATTTAGAGCCCTGCTGAAATAAATATTAACCCTTGCTCCGATTAGTGTGTCAGGGAGGCAGTGTCTTTATGCCATTGCTCATTGTTAATTCATAGAGCAGACACCAACGCTTAAATTGGGCACATTTACGTCGTAACTACACAAAGTTACTGCTGCTGTTCTCTGTGTCCAGGTGTGGATTCCTAGAACACCCACTGGCGAAATCCTGGCCACCTACTTCCTAATATCTGAAGGATCATCAGTTTATAGCGACGTAACTGTACAAAATGAACAAATTATCCTGAACACCAGTTAATGAGCCGGCAACCATTACTGAGCCAACAACACTGTTACTAGCATTGCTTGGGGTTCTACTACCCAAAATCATTTACGTCCGCTAATTATCCAACACAAAGCTTCTATAAGAACAATAACCAACTCTGGCCCCAGATAGCACTTGGTACCCTTACTCAAATCTCTGAATATGTTAGATATTAAGTCACTGCACATCCTCTCATGTGTACTCTATATATTTAAAACTCTGAATTGTAATGTCAATCCTGACCTTAAAAACTTCTTAGAAGGTTGTAACAGAACCCATGGGCACCACACTAGAAACAAATACTTATTTGATATTCCAAGAGGACGACTTAATCAAACAAGAAATCCTCTACAAATCAAGGGACCCAGAATGTGGAATGACCTTCCCACTCATGTCAAAGGCTATACCTCTCTCAACCAGTTTAAGATGAAAACTAAGTACTACCTAATTAACTCCATGTAACCTACCTTATCCCTAAATGTCAACCCATGTCTTACTATTTTTAAACAATGCAGTTTGTTGATCAACTTGTATATTGTTTTTTTCTACCATGTTCCCCTCCTTTTTTATCTTTTATATTATATTTTTTTCAATGCAATTTATACTTTAAGCTCAATTACTATTAAGTTTTAGTATAAGTGTTGTTTCCTCCCACCTCACCTTGCCCAAAACGCTATGTGTACTAGTGGCTTTAGGTATTGTATGTACTAGCTATATCTATAAATGCTGTCTTCTTTTATGTGCTAGCCATATGCTGTATTGTGCCTGCTAAGTTTTGTTAAACTACCATTCAAGCTGTCACTGCAATCATTCTGAGCTACCTATGTGCTTTAATATACCTACAATTTTTCTCTCATCTTTTATTTTTTTCATGCTATGTAACTGTTATCATTTTTATAAATTTTGCAAGTATTTACCTACTTTATAAGTTTCTTAGATTAAGGACCTGCCCAAAACGCTGCGTGTACTAGTGGCTTTACAAGAATGTAATTACTATGCTATGTATCCTCACAATCCCAATGTACCTTCTTGTATATTAAATAAATATAAATAAATAAATAAATAAATAAATAAATAAATAAATAAATAAATAAATAAATCCAACATTACGTTTGTAAATCAACTATATATGTACTTTCCTGAATAAAATTTACTTTACTAGCATGTATGACCTCACTACGGCACCAAGTACCACTAATCCTCAACATGGATAACTGGAAGAAAACCACAGATAATAAAGAGATAACCCATAGAGATGATGATGTTTTAGACTTAGCTATTCAGAAGGAAGTATCCATGTAGCACGGGCAATAGTGTTAAACCTATGGTGTTAAAACAAGGGTAAACCCACTGCGATGTTGTTGTTGTTTCAGATTTAGCTACTCAGAACCAAGTGTCCATGTAGCACGGGCTATGGTGAGCCCGTAATCCCACTGCGAGATAACTACCAAATATAAAGGAGGAACAAGTCAAGTGGAGCGGCCAGCGGCAGCGGGTAGTATGTTTACACGACATCAGCTGATCCCGGACCCGCAACACCAAGATGGGAAAGTTCCAACTGATGGTTGCCAATGAGCGGGTGACGAATATTTATTTATTTATATATTTATTTATATACAAGAAGGTACATTGGGTTTGAGAGAATACATAGAATAGTATTTACAATCTTGTAAAGCCACTAGTACGCGCAGTGTTTCGGACAGGTCCTTAATCTAACAGATAATCTAATGATAATGATGTAATAATCTAATGATAAATAATAAAAGTTACATAGCAAGAAAAAATATAAGATGAAAGAAAATTGTAGGTATATTAAAGCACATAGGTAGCTCAGAATATAATAATAATAATAATAATAATAATAATAATAATAATAATAATAATAATAATAATAATAATAATAATAATAATAATTTATTTAGGAATAGTACATACATAGTTGCAGAGTTACAGTACACACATTCTGTTAGATTTAAAGATAGAGGTAGTACATACAATACCTAAAGCCACTAGTACAATTTCTTTATTATGCACCCCCATACCCATCCCGTGGGCGGTGGTGTAAAGTTTTTTTTTTTTAGTTTAGTTCATTTATTATGCACCCCATACCCATCTTGTGGGCGGTAGTGGAAAGGGTTACAGAGGCACATAATGGGCTCAGGGACTGAACCCCACAATTCATTTAGCTAAGCAAGTTACAATCTTGATGAGCTAGTTACAAAATTCAATATAAGTCATCACATCAACAATGGGTTCGAGATCGACCTCAAGTACAGGTTCTAAATTAAGCAACTGACATATGTGGAGAGCTAGTGTCAAAATTTATATGTTTGTCCTGCACACCGCCCCCCATTCAGTGGGCAGCGGTGGATAGGTTACAATCACTTAGTTACTACCTACAGTTAGCAAACTGGGGATATTTGGCTAAAATTTCTGGTAGCAGATCATTTTGAATGAAATATTGACACATCGCTGGAACATTGGTTATAGAATTGTCTCTAAATTCACGTATCCTTTCGCACTCCATCACATAGTGACGGAGGGTGTGCGAATAATTTTGTTGACACAGTTTACATTTGGTCAAGTCTACATCAGCAGATAATGAGAATTCCCAGAGATACTTGTAACCGAGTCTAAGCCGAGCAGTAGTAACATTTAGAAGTCTGCTGATTTTATTGGATGATCCATAGATGTGTGGCTCCTCTTGCATGATAGTATGATGATAGATGGAATTACTGGTGTCAATTTCACTTTGCCTCAGATCTACAAGATCTTGTTGAAGTTCTCGGTGTACTGCTGCTCTCAGATTGCTCATGGACAATCCAAGGTTACACTCAACGGCTCCTTTAAAGGCAGAATCTTTGGCTAACTTATCAGCTCTATCATGCATTCGGAGGCCAACATGAGATGGAGACCACATGAAATCGACTCTGTTACCATCCTTAATAATTTTGTTGTATTTGTGTCTAGCTTCGGACACGAGCATGTTACAGTTATGTCTTAAAGAGTTGAGAGCATTTAAGGATGATAAGGAGTCACTTACAATTAATGTATCAAGTTTTGAGACTTGTACACATTTCAGTGCAAGGATCAAGGCAAATAGTTCAGTCTGAAGGGTAGAGGCCCAGTTGTTTATACGGACTCCCCACTCAAAGTATAGGCCATCGCCCATTGTCAGGACAACTGCACTTCCAGCTGCACCCGTGGTGCGGTGTAGGGAACCATCAGTGTATATAATTTGAGAGAGAGAATGCTCTGTGGACAGAGCATCAATGTGTAAAGGATTACAGAGGCACATAATCGGTTCAGGAACTGAACCCTCTAGTTCGTTTAGCTAAGCAAATAACAATGTTTGACGCTAGTTACAAAATTATCAATGTTGTATACACATGTACACACCCTCATACATACATGTACATATATATATACGTATACACATATACATACACATACATATCTAATCACCCACACAAATACACACATCAATAATCTTTGTGTCACAAGTGACATTACAAGAGGCTCACAACAGTCACTATACAAGGCACTTTACATCTATAGTGAGTCACACAGTTACTAGGCTTGCTGCACGCCCACCCAACTGGGCGGCAGCTTTACAGTCATGTGCATGCATTACCTACAGTAAGCAAATTTTGAATACTTCGCTAAAATTTCGGGCAGCACATCATTATGAATGAAGTACTTACACATTTCTTGGACACTATTGATGGTGTTATCTCTAAAATCCGCAATTTTTTCACATTCCATTATATAATGACGCAAAGTATGCGAATAGTTCTGCTGACAGAGTTTACATTTAGTCAAATCTACATCAGCAGATGTTACAAACTCCCAGAGGTACTTGTAGCTGAGCCTAAGCCTAGCAGTGGTAACATCTAGAAGTCTGCTAACATTATTGGATGACCCATAGACGTGCGGTTCTTCATGCATAATAGAATGATGATAGATGGAGTAACTGGTGTGAATTTCACTTTGCCTCAAGTCTCCGAAATTTAGCTGATGTTCCTGGGATATTGCTGCCCTCAGGCTGCTCAAAGGCAGTCCAAGTTGGTAATCAATTCCCTCTTTACGAGCAAAAGTCTTGGCTAGCTCATCAGTTCTATCATGCATTCGGAGACCAATATGGGAAGGAATCCACAGGAGACAAACTCTGACTCCATCATTGATTATTTCACTATATCTGTGTCTAGCTTCAGAGATAAGCACGTCACAGTTATGCCTTGGGGAGCTAAGGGCAGTCAAGGATGACAAGGAGTCACTTACAATTAGCGTGTCAACTTTGGATTCATATACGCGCTCTAGTGCAAGGATTATGGCAACCAATTCTGTTCGAAGAGTGGAGGCCCAATTACTTAGACGCGCTCCACACTCATGGGAGAAGGAACCATCTCTCCCTGTCACAACAACTGTACTTCCAGCTGCACCATAGGACTGATGCAAGGATCCATCAGTGTAAATAATCTGGGAAAGGGAGCGCTCTCTGATTAAAGTATCAATTTGGCTTAAGGCATTGTACTTTGCTTCTTGTCGAAGCAAGGACTGTTCTTTAATCAGCTTCTTGGGTGGGAAAGGGGGGACAGTAATTTGGAAAGGAGTGATCTCCCATGGGGCAGGAAAGTGTTGTTGTTGTCTCTCTTGGTAGGGGTGATGAAAGTTATACATTCTGAGCACATTGGCAGTTACGGTAATCCATTTGGAGGGATGCTGACCTTCAAGGAAGAAGGCTTGGAGGGCTTCAGTGCAGGGGTTAGGGTGGGTTAGCCTAAGCATCTTGATACCAATTAAAGCATTAATTTCAGTGATACGATCACTTACACATGAAATATTCAGTTCCTTCCTCATGTTTAGTAATTTAGTTATACGGGGGCATCCGAGGATAATCCTCATGGCTTCGTTTTGCATCTTTTCCAACCCTCCAAGCATTCTCTCAGGCACTAGAGCAAGCATGGGTGCAGCATAATCAATCAGAGACCTATTATATGAGAGATACATCATTTTGACAATTCTCACATTTGCACCATAGCTTGGATGGTAGCCTGCCACAGCCTTAAGAGCACGGAGCCTCTCTCTACATTGGCGACCCAGTCTGGCTACAACATTGCGGTACAGTGGAACCTCAAGACCAAGGTATTTGTATCTGGTTACATAGTCGAGCAGAGAGCCATCATGCAACTGCATTTTGCGAACGGCCCCACCCCGTCTGGGTGGGCGTTGGTTCAGGATCTTTGTTTTCTCTAATCAGTCATTATGATTATTGTTAACTAATTGTTTGCAGTTCATTAATTATTATTTATATGCTGCCGGTGACCCAGCAGCTGAAGGCCCAGCTGAGCATGCCCTTATAATCAACCATTATTATTATGAGTATTGTTAATTAATTATTCGTAGCTAATAATAGCAGCCGAAGACTCAGCTGGTGGTGTTGCAGCTGAGCATGCACAGTCACCCTCTTTATTTATATACGATTTCTGTTCTTTACATTTTGTCATTCTTTATATTCCTTTCTAAATTATGTATTATATATTGTTTGTTTGTTTCTCGGGCCAGACCCAGCTGCTGATGTGCCGGCTGACGTAGTCCATGCCGATGATCCAGCAGCTGAGGGCCCAGCTGGTAGCGTTACGGCCGCTGAGCGAGGCCCAGCTGGTGGTGTGCCAGCTGAGCATGCCCCCTGGAGGCCAAGCCCAGCTGCTGACGTCCCAGCCGGTGATCCAGCAGCTGATGGCACAGCTGGTGGTGTTCCAGCTGAGCATGCCCCTGGAGGCCTAGCCCAGCTCCTGATGTCCCGGCTGAAGAGTTTCCAGCCGATGACCCAGCAGCTGAGGCTCCAGAAGGAGGTATCCAGCCGACGATGTCCCAGCTGCTGAAGTTGACATCTAGCGGTGTCCGACCGAAGATGCCGCAGCTGCAATGGTCCAGCTGCCGAGGCTACAGATGGCGTGTCCCAGCCGAGGATTTTTACGAGAGAAGAAAGGAAGAACGCATTTTCTCTCCATTCTTAATAATAATTTTGTTACAGTTCTAATTCGTCATGTTGAGCGTAAGTGGTTCCGCAGTTCGATGCCACTTAACACCCTCTTACCTTGGCCTGTTGGCGTTCCTTAGTATTTACCCGTTGCATAGTGATATGGACTTCGCTGCACTCTATGCAGTCTTCGGGGCCACCTGCAGTCCACTGTCTGTACTGTGTTTTAACATTGACTTATAATTTATATTATTTAATATAATTTATATTTATAAAAATATATATTATAATAATTTATAATTTATTATAAATTTCATTATATTTTATTTTATATTATATTTATTTTATATATTATTATTAATTTTATTTTGATAATATATAATTTATATAAAAATATTTATATAAATATTATTATATATAAATTATTATTAATAATTGCCGTGCCGGTGCCTACTAACTACTTGACGCTGGCATTCACTACTTCTCTTAGTTTCCCACTGAGGAGGCG